CATAAGAAAAACCTGGAGTGATAGGGTTAAATAGTAATGTGTACTTTCAGCATCTGACCAACTGCTGTAGATTATCTATTTCATACACTTACTTATGTTTAGACAAACAAGTGCAAATGGAAATATCTGTAGTAAAATATTTGAGTATATTTTAACTAAAAAAGTATTCAATCTTGTATGCAGGATAAAAAAAGGAGAAAAAAAGTGACTTCTAAATAAAAATACAACAACTGTGATTGGTTAGTTCTCTCTAAAAACAATAAAAAATTTTTGTGTTTGATGAAAAGAAAAAAAAAGAACATAGTAAAGGCACGGAAAAGTCTAGTTTCACGACATTTTTAGGGAGGCCAGGGAGAACACATCTCATCTACTACATGTAACAATATCTTTTAAAATGAACTGTTTAGAAATCATCGAAAACATTTTCATCTAAGAACAAATACACAAGTTAATAAAAAAGATGCAATCTTCTAAGAGTTGGATATTTAGCAAGAGAGAGAGAGTAAAAGGTAACTCAAAGAACTCACTGCTGCAGGGCGAGGATGATGTTTGATGTATGGATTATCTGGCCCTAAAACACTTTTTAATGACTGTTCTTCCTTTTCTTCTTCTTTAGCCAAAGAGGATACACAAACATCTTCAGCAGATAGCATTGGTTCCAGCTTACCAAGTGCTTCTACAAATACTGATGGTATTCTGTTGATTATCAAGTGAGACAAAATTAAATTCAGAAAAATAGTGGTTCCAGTAATGTCAGTTAATATTTAACTGTCTTAAAGCAGCTGGGAATATTTAAAACCTATGTAATCACAAGAATAATTAGCTAAATAATCTGATCTGACTACAAGCCTGAACTTGAAATTTACAGAAAATCATGCAAATTCAATGGTTCACAAATACTATTATTCCAAAAACGTAAACAGGTGAACAGTTCACAGTTTCTGTCAGCAACTTTCCTATTTTTGCTAATTACTTTAAAATGTAGAATAAAGTATACTTAGTGTGTTGTACCCTTGGCTAAATTTTGGATCCCACCAAAAAGTAGAGACTTAAATCTATGAGCTTCTGTAATGTATCTTTTCAAAATTATCAGTTTATAAATACTTTACTACGTGTGAAAAATATGCTTTTGGTTTATTTTTAATATTAATTTCTAATATTATCCTTATTATACTAAACAGTATATTTTAAAAAGTTTAAATACATAACATCTTTGTTATTCTCCAAAAAAAGGCAAATACTTTTATTTCAAGTCAATACTAACATAAATAGAAAAAAGAAAACATATTTAAACTGCAACTATAGTATAACTTGTAAGGTTTATGAGTTTCTTCACGTGAGGTGCAACCTTCATCGCTAAGCAGGTAAAAACCAAATTAGGTAAGTAATTGATGGAAAGGAGCTTGAAATTACTAACTTAAATAAATTTCCCACAAAATTCCTATAGTAGAAACTACAAGATGGTTGAGAAATAATTAAACATATATAAGACAAGTTATATTAAAAGACACATTGTGAGATAACTAAGCAAATACAGGCATTGATAAACAAATGATATATAAAAAATAGAGGTAAATAACAATTTTAACAGGTTATCAAGCAGAAAAGTAGAAAGATGCAAACCACAAATAAACAATTTACAAAATATTAATTACTGTATATTCTAATTTGTTTCACTTCTTGTCTTCTCCACTTACCACATGCAACTGTAATATTTACATGGCATACATGTTTAGAAAGTTTGCAAATACTGACATGTAACCTTTCTTGATGACCATTATATAATTTCCTAAAATAAGCTATTTAGGTTTACCATAAAAAAGTATAATGTGTTCCAGTAAAATATTTACTTAAAAGATCCCATGAACAATGTAAAAATGTGTTATTAAATGTCTAATAACCTTACGGGATATGCAAGTGACATTTTCAACTTTGTTACTTTTTGTTGTAAAATAATCTACTAATAATTCCAGCCTACCTTTTCGTGTGCAGTGTCCGGGAGATTGGTTTACATACTGCAGGAACTGTGGTCACTTTCTGTGAAACAGAAGCAGATGTACTGGACTTGCTGCATACTGGATAAGCTATAAAAAGACAATTTTATGTAACAGAAAACTGTTTTCTTTTTTCTTTTATTTACATGACAGTTGTCACTTTAGATTTGAGTTATTCCAAAAATGTCTTCAGTTTACTTGTTGTAAGTAACAATAAAAATAGAGAAACAAGGAATTATTTGTTACATAAAAACAAAAAAAACAACAACAAAGTTTAACTGTACCTTTGTCAAAACATCACCTACATAATGAATTGTCTGTTAACTACCATATTTGACGGTGTATAAGTCGAAGTTTGAAGCCAAAATAGTTACCCTTATATTTCCACTTCAAGTTATACACTGTATCAATACTTTTGGTGATGAAATCTTCAAGAATTTAACCAATTTTCACAAGTTTTTTTAGTTTATTTACTTTCATACTCTTTGTAACTGCAAAACATGCACCATGACAAGAAAACAATAAAAACCCTTAACTTTATAACTGAAAAGTTGATTTATAAGATGCTTGAAATATTGTTTTAAAGTTTGTTCATAAATAGTGGTTTATAACAGTCACCAAAGCAAAGATAGGCCACCAACACTATGTTCTTGTTACAGTTAATAGTGCAATAAGTTAGTGATGATAGTTTGAATGCATGAGGTATGATTGCATTAATTACATGAATTAGTTACCATCATCATACCTATTGTGATGGGACTGTTTTGTAAAAGCTCAATAATTCTTTTTAATCATTGTTTATTCTTTCCTCTTCGGAAATTGTGGATACCTCTGAATTGTTCCCACTACAAGAGAATACTTGTATATGGAATTTTTTTACAAAGGATCATTATAAAATTTGTTTGACTTACACACTGGATCTATGAGAATCCTAACTTTTTTTAATATCAGGAATGTGGGATCAACTTATACACTGCATAGACTTGTCAAATATGGTAATTGGATGATTTACATAAAATTATGATAATGCAACCAAAAACAATGTGCTTTCATTTAAAATAAACTAATTATACTTGTTTTCACATAACAAATCTGTTTAAAGCATTTGTAATATGCAATGTATTTGATGCTCCCTATATCAGTGTAGGTCTAGCTGGGCTGTGTCAATTAAATGTGATACACAGCACATCCACAAAACTTCACTCTCACTTAACCCTACTTAAGGGGTTGGTCTATTGAGCCTGTATAGGAGAATTAATGTTTACTATAATTGCAAATTTCCTTAGTGTATCTCCAATAAATTTGTTAAGCTTTTAGAAAATGTTACAAGTTCGCTGTATATGAAAAATCAGAATTTTTAATAAAGTATTTCAACTAAAGATTTATCCTTGCATCTATTTTAGTCAGTTTGACTAAAAGTGCAAGGTGGTGTTCATGTTACAGGTTTCTTCCTGTGAGGAGCATCTGAGTGCGATTATTGCTTCACTGCTTTCTTTTAACTGTCTGGTTTCTCTACAAGAATGTACTTCACTGTAAGAGTCCAAGTCAGACTGACTATAGCATTTCACAGACATATCGTTTGCACAAAAACTTTTGTAACAAATCAGATTTTGTGTACACTAGTCTTGTACTATTGACAAAAAAGCTTGCCACATTTCATGAAAATACATAAATGCAGACTTACAGTCACCATTACTTCTCCAATAAAGAATCAGTCTCTTGGTCAATTCCTTTATGCTACATTTAATTCTACATGATGGGTACTTGAACATTTTCCTGTTCACTTACAACTGTACTGACTAACACATTGTTAGAATGACACATTCCTATACAATTTTGTAGTACACAAGTTGTTTGGTCAGTGCATCTTGTTCAAAGATTTAGAACTGAATATGAAAATAACAAATTTCTTCTATTTCAAAGCATATGCACTCAAGAATTTTGTTGGCCTGGCTACTCAGTAACCAAAAAAAAAAAAACTTGTATGGTTTAATTAACAAAGTACTTGAAGTTAAAATTTTAAAAAAGATCCCAAACTATGATTATGCATGCTCACTGCAATATTATTTATCATTCTAAGCATCAAACACAAAGGTGTATACATGAGAAACAAACATTTTTAATTAGTGTTCCACATGCTCTGCATCCGAGTTTCTCAACCACTGGTCTGCAGACCAATGCTGGTCCATCACAACTATCTTGCCAGTACATTTGGTTTCGCAAAAACAAAAAATTAACAAAATATTCAGGTGTAAGTCGTAAGTTCCTTTAGTGGTCTGCAACAGTTTGGAGGGGCAACAAATTGTGTAACTGGTATCAAAAATTTTTCAAGAAATGCTGTTCCACATGAATACCCAAGCTTTACACAACTACATAACTGACAAACATTACTGAGATACAACTGTATTCTTTAATAAATTTGCAATTATGAAGACCAATAAAAACATCACAAATTAAGTACTGATCTAAAAAACATTTTTACAACTTGAAAGACATTTTAAAAATTAATAAACAAATCGATAGCTATGTTTTGATGAATACACAATATTAATAGTCATACCCACTAACTAATGTTCTTTATGCACTAACTCAAACAGAACCTGCTCAGCATTGCACTTTTTTTTAGAGATATTGTAACTTAAGACTTGATATTCCAAGTGCACCTAATTTTTTCTCTACTTTCTTACAAAAGTCGTTAGTAGTTTTTGTACAAATTTCAAATTTTACAGGTATTTTCATTTGGCAAAATAAGTTTCTTCCTGTAAGGAGCATCCGAGTGCGATTATTGTTTCACTGATTTCTTTTAACTGTCTGGTTTCTCTACAAGAATGTACTTCACTGTACTCTTCAAGGATCAACAAAAGTTTACCAGTTTTTACTGCAAACATTGAAGCCAAATCAGACACTTTTTTTGTGCATTACAAACAACTTCAGAAAGAGCTTTCTAGCTGTTTCTCTAGCAGGAGAACTATGATATAACTCTGGTTTACCCACATGGACAGTTGAGTCAGTTTCTGGACTGGTTTTATTGCAGCAGTCTGACAATCTTCAGTTCTCCTAAAAGATGCTTCTTTTTAAAATACAAATTATATACATATCTGCATATAACTATTAGCTAAATGAAGTTAAGTATATACCTGTTTGTGAGACACAAGTCTGTAATCCAGATGAATTGAACTGGTTAGAATAAGAAACTGAATCAGTACGTGTTGCTGAGGCTTTAACTGCCTTGAGTGTTGCTTCTTTAGAAGCTCGATGATCTGCTAAAAGTTCATCAAACTTTTTTCTTCTTCCTGAAACCTTTCTTCGCATAGACACAGGATGAGTCTAAAAAGTAAAATCAAATTTGGCTATAGGTTAATAAGAAAAACAAATACAAATTTCTGCATAACTTAATATTTGTTTAAAAATAACCATTTAGGAAAACTAAAATAGAAAAATGTACCCATTTGCCACTATACTGTTCTTTATCTACATAAACAACAAGTCTGAGTAAATCAAACTTCAAAGTTGGATCCCAAAATTAACTTCATTAACACAACTTAATCCAAGATTCTATGTTATCCATGAATAATGACAAAAGAATTCAAGAATTTTATAAATGTTTGAAACCAAATTTGATCATGTGAGAAAGATATGACTAATGTTTGCCCCTGAAGAAGATAAGTACATCTTTCAAAAGTGCTCGGATTATAGGGTTTTTATTCACGACTAATGGTAAAATATGATAATTCTTGAATTTAACTCTCCACCTTTCAAAGAAACAATATAAGTAAAGAGAATATGCCTCAAAGAAAACAATATTTACAATTTGTGTGTAGAAAAACATTAAAACCCACTTTGCATGTTAAAGAATGGGTACATGGCTTGCCAGTTTCAGATATGATGACACCACAATGTATATTTGGATCATATTCTCGATCTGCAATAGAAATAGAACATGAAAAGTAAAAAAAAAACAAATGACACTGCAAATAATTAATTGATTTTTTTATAAGATAATATTTAAAGGCTTACATTACACAACACAAATAATCATCTTTAGTTCATATGTATATACTAAATTAAAAATATTTTTTTATCAAGAATTTACCAATCAACAGCATTTAATTAATGATTCACATCATAAAGAGTAGGATATTTAGCTTAACTCTGAGAGGCAGTTAAAAATGTTTATTTTAAACAGTGAACGTAGAGAAAATGATAATATTTAGAGTCATAAAAATACTATTATTTTACAGAGGGCTATGACTTCTTGAAAACTGTACCTTTCTACTAAAAGCAACAACATTTATCAGTAAAGTAAAAATTCTGATGTCTGTAATACTCTTTCACTGCACCGTAGAAACCTGGTACCACCTGATGACAAAAAATACCAAATAATGCTTTCATCTCTTGTTGCTCTTCAAAATTTCACCATCTTACATGTGAAGCACATTACCATGTCTACTAAAATAATAAAAGTCACATTAAATACCACTTAAAAACATCCTACGGGTTAAAAATAATATTTTGCATTGGTCAACCAATTTATTAAAGCGAGTTCTTTTTTAATTTTCTTAAAATTATTTGAATCAAGTATCCATCTATTATTTGAAACAATCAAAAATGACTTGTATCAACCCATTATTTGTTAAAATAAGATAGATTCTCACCCTTACAAAGCAGCAGTTTTCGTTCTCTTGGCATTTTTTTACTCCTGCTGGAGCCTGAGATTTTCTTTGTCTCTACATTTATCAAGATCTGTTTATCTTTGGATAATGTTGTAGGATGGTGATGCATTGTGGTTGTTAACTTTGATGAGTAAACTGCACCAGGATGAGATACAGCTGTTATGGTTGTTTTAGCTAGTGCTGTTAAACAAGTAGATGGTAAATGCGGTATTAAAAGAGGTGGAGGTTTTTGTGGTGAAGGTAGTTCTTTTTTAAGTGTTGGGGAAGAGTTAACATTTTTAACCACTGCATTATCAGGAATCCTTTCCACAAACACCACTGGTGCAAGAGTATGATTTTTATTTCCTTTATTACCCCATCCAGGCTTTTCACCTTTTGATTTAGTGATATTAGTTACACCAGAACCAGACAGTTTTGTGTGAGGTCGTGACTCCAATGGATGAGAGGACAGAGCAATTGATGATTTCATTTTTGTAGATGATAAATTGCACTGTGATTTAAAGACATGATTGGTAGACTGAAAACCTTCACATTTCTGGTCCTCTGAAGATTTGGGACAGCTTGATCTTACACTTCCATGTTGAGCTTCTGTAAATAAGATCACAAATCATTAGTGAAAAAAGTTAAGTTTCATTCTGGGTGGTTTGAAGCCAGTGGAAAATTAAATACTAGCTTACTGACTTTTAAGATTTCAGCTGTACAATTATTCTATGAAAAACAAAAATGCATATGGCTTACAATACTTAATCAGCATTTAGATAAACAAACCAGCACGAAAGATACACGTGCCAGTTGTTAACGACCTAAATATAATGTACCTCCAGCTTTGACAATATTCCAGGAATCAACATGCTTAAATATAGACCAAAATAAACTGAGAGCTTTTCTATATTTTGCAGTTACTATTTATTGTATAATAAGCTAGAATTGAAGCACTATAACTTCTGCCACTGATCAAAATCAGTTTTCTCATCAGTAAACGTGTATGAAGTAATCAGTGACTCATTAACTGTTAAAGATAATACCACTGAAAGTATGAATACTTTTACAATCATTAATTCATCAATTTTTGGTAAATTTTAAAAACTTGTAAATTACAAATTACTTTTTTAAATACTGAGCTGTGATAAATAACTTTGAAATTAACCCAGCTACTTATAATTACAATGAAATGATCAATTCTAATTAATTATCAATAACTAATTAAAAATATCTGGTAGACACATAACACAACTGAAAAAAAAGTACATAATTAAACGGAATACCAATGTACAAGTTAGTGTCTGGCCATTAAAAGCTATACCTCATATAACCTATATAAAAATCACAAATAACTAATTATCACAGCTCTGAATAATAATGCGACTTATTTAAAATAATTATTACCTATTGAAACTATTTGCCAGTAGGTCTATTCTAAAATTATCTATACTTCTCATTACTGTATCCAATTATTTGGTAGTAAACAAGTCAAAGAAATAATGTTTGGATTATCAAGAAATGCATAGCTGATTATTATTCAACCTATGTAACAACTTTTCTATTTCTACTAGACACACTATAATAAAGCTGAACAAAAGATACACTATTGTCTTACATGTTAAAACCAGCATAATATGTGGAGGATTCTCACTCTTTTATACATTCCAAGTTTCTGTCTATGCTATAGATCTTTAAAAGTACTTCAACTGCTTTAATCTAACATACAAGTTTTTTCTTACAGCAGTTTCTGTTAAACTAGGATAACGGTATAGTCTTATACTTATAGAAGTTTGCATTATAATGGCTCTAATTTATTACTAAAATGGATTGTATAAAATTTTGTCTCTTTTCAATTAGTTCAACTTTTATAAACATTTTATCAGAGTGCCATACATATCAATAACACCACATTCCTGAAGTTTACTTTAGTATAAGTTCAGTTTAAAAAATCTTTAAAAAAAAGAATAACTAATTATTTGACTGAATAAAGTATTTCAGTTAAATTTCCTTAGAATACTACAAGTGGTTTTGGTCCCCTTAATAGGAGAAAGAATTTAACATACTAGAAAGTGTGTACAAACAAGATACTAATTTAGAAACTAGAACAACGAGTACAGACTAAATACATAGGCTCATTTTCTCTATGGAGTCAAGAACTAGAGATGTTAAACATTATTAAAGGCTTGAATAATCTGCATATGATTTATATATATATATAAGTAAATGGTAAAATATTACAAATAATAAGATCAAGCATTAGACAACTAAATCCAGACTTTTTAATTGACAAACTTATTCCTGCATTAAAATCACATTCTTTGAAATATTTTCCCCATGGTGTGCTGTTAAAATGTTTATTGGACAAGTTTGTGATATGAATGTAAAATTTTGCTCTATTTTATATTCTGTTGTAATTAGTCTGTTATTCAAGTATATAACACAACTCATAATCAACTAACACCTGTGAGTTTAGTTTCTTAAAAATCTTTAATTTGTTTGATGAGTGAGTGAGTGATAAAAAAACCTATTTACAAATCTCTTATGAAATAAATGTTATAAATATCAAATATATGATTTAATAATGATCAAGAATTCTATGTTTGTGTGTGTATACAGTAACAATAACAGATAGACATAGCACAGCCACAAGTAATAAGCTTTTTACTTTCTTGCAAAAAGTAATTTTATTTAGCAAAGATTTTCTTAATGTTATTACATTTTAATTACACTTCTGTAATGTTTTCAATTAATTAAGAACTAACATCTATTTTAACATTCCTCCAACCCTGTTGCATATTTCTTTATTGATGTATTAAATTACAAATATAAAATTAACAAAATATTCTAACCTACAAAATTTTTATAATTTCAAATAGAAATCAATTATTTTTTTTATTTCCTACTAGTACTATTGTCAATAAATTGTCATTTAAAAACTGTAAAGTTGATCTTATATTATTAAGCCTATTTCTTAATAATAATCTCGTACTTTATTTTAAAACTATGTAAACTTCACATGATTATTACAAGAAATATGTTCAAACATCAAAGGTGCAGATCAATTCATAAACCTAAGTCATAGAATTTGTATTTCACATGAACAGTACCGTTACTAAGACTACCACAGATTACCCTGGTTATCTTCTGAATCATTTATGATTTAACTGGGATAAATAGTGGGATTACCGCCACCTAAGGCATAAAGATAATGGTAAAGATTTACTTTAACACTAACATCAAGGCCTAATAAACTGTCTCGCTGAAGATAACCTTGGGTCAGTTCTACAATGACGGGATTTGTACTATTTCTCGTGTTACTGATAGTGATATCCTAAAACTAGGTTACTCACATATGCCGTTATAAATAACACTAGAGCAAGTCTTTCAATCACGTGTCATCTTTAAAACTCACGGCATGAAAAATGAAAATACTGTGAGCTGAATCCACACAAAAACCTGCTACAACTAGTACTACTACGCGCTGTTATAAATTTTATGTGTTATTACTACACTTGTCTCAACAGCCTTATATTTATAAGATCCAATATGGCAGATTGCAATGCGACCCTCTGGTGGCGACACGAGGAAACTCAGACCAAAACAAACTGGTCATACGCTGACGGTAGCGAACCGCGTGGCACAGAGCACTACCCACCGCCGGTGGAAAGGTATGCGTAAGTACCGCTAATACCACGTGACCTATTTTTAAGGTTGGAGGCTAAACTGCCACTAGGTGAAGGTCCAAGTGATAAAGACTTTGTTTTAACATTAAACACAGTAAACTAAATATTGATTATGATAACTAAGAAACATCCTTAACGTTCATATACATCATAAAATTTAACGACGATACTCACATATATCACTGTACTGGAACAAGCATTACTTAACAGTAGATTTGAGTCAGAACATAAAAAGATGTCCCATTCAAAGTGTGTGTGTGTGTGTGTGTGAGAGAGAGAGAGAGAGGTTTACCTATTACAGAGCACCCGGTGACTCAGCGGCAAGCTTGAAGGCTTATATCGCCAAAATTCGGGGCTCCATGTCTGCAGTGAACATCACACATATAGCCCGATTAGTAAAATTGCTCTTAACAACAAATAAATCTATTTGAAGAAGTGCATAGTTTGACTCTGCATGATTTTAACAGTTATTAATATTTACTTTTGCATTTTTCAGATACTGATAATCATTCATTTACAAACGTCGTACATATCATTGGATGTATACGCTACCACGAAATATTGTTAACGTCGGAAACCGTCACAAGTTACATTGACAATTACAAATTTTATTCTGTTGAGTACAGACCAACTGAAATCAGTGTGATGTGCATAATACCATCAAGCGTATAGGCAAGCACGTCTCTATCTGTAAGGTATAACTTGAGAACATCGCTGTACAAAGTTCAATCCTTGCACTTCAGTTTCGCTTAAGTATCCTCATACTCATAAATAAATATACAAAATCTTAATGCTGCATTCATATCTTTATCGCTATTCGAATTTAATGTTGTTGTTGTTGTTCATATTGTCTGTGCCCATTATGTACACTACTCTCTATACAATCCACGCTAAATGGTCTTATATTTTTTGTTCACTATAACCTCTGGATGTATTATACTATAGCATAATAAAAGCTGTATACATTTTCATTGACACGGTCTAGACTATACGCACGAGATAACATGCCAACTCGTATGAAGGATGAATAATCAGTATGACAAACCGAGTTTGAAATCTATATTTTATAACAGCTGTTATCGTCAGATTTTACTTTGCGTAGAAAAACAATTGAAACATGTATGGATTATATATACTGATCACAATGTAAAAGTTATCTCATGGAAAAAGTGAGAGACGCTGAGAAACATGACGTGTAATTTGCATCTGGCAACCAACGTGCCTCCTGTCCTCTAAATCATACATAGTATTGCGAATAATTATGTAAGCCACACGAGGGAATGTTCACGTGAGTAAACAATTCATGATATAAAGCACGCATGGTTAACGGCACAGTACTATATCCAACACTGATGAGACATTAGTGTATGTCTATACAAACTCTAATTACGACCGAAATGCAGTGTTCGAATTACACTTTTCCTCTCTATACAGTAGTTATTAAAATCTACCATGCATTCCTTTGTTTACCTTTAGAAACACATAACCACAGATTAAAGCAGAAACCCTGCCCTTGACAATGTATGAAGAAATAACTGTGAATGTAATACAAATATTCCCAGACTCAGATTTTGAACTCTATTAAAAGGGGTATCTTGTCTCGCCCGTCTTTTGAACACTGTTTTCCTTCTTTTTGTAAATAATAACTATCTATTCTCTAGGACACCCAGTTTACACAAATGCTCTACATTGTTTTAAGGTTAATTTTTTACAAACTTTTTGATGAAATACCTACAGATTAACACCTGCCCACAAGTAAACTGGTGGATATATTGTCATCAAATAAATTACGTGGTAAAAAAGCAAAATCATTTCCAGAGGCACTGGTCGCAAAGTCCATCTAGAACAATGGACTGATATAAGGTCAAAATAAAATTGTTCCTGTCAGGAGTATTATGCACAAAGTATCGTATTATGAAATTC